AATCCTTAATGGTGCTTCACAGGGAATAGTTCCCAATGGTCCCTATAATTAGCTAATTAGCTCCTCTCTGAAGAAGGTACTATTTCAATTGCGGTCGCACTCCAAAAAAACCAACCACTGCAGCGCCGAATCTGCAGGAACTGCAGCTTGTTGTACTGCAGCTGGTTAAAGAGACTTTTGAAAAACAAGGCGTGACAAGCTCGGAAAGGGCACCCACCCGTGTCAAGGCCAAACCCCCATATTATACATATATATATATATGTGTATGTGTGTACATATGCACACGTGTATGTACAATTCTATGCATGATATGCTACATAATATGTCATGTTATGCTACAGTATGTTATATAACTGTATGTGTAGATTATATTATATATATATATATATATGTGTGTGTGTGTGTACGGGCCCTCCCCAGCACTGACCGGAAACAATGTTCATGTTCCTTGTGCTTTCCTACTGGAATTATGTTGGCCAGGCAACCCTGCACTCCCAAACTCGAGAGGATCTTGTCGAGTTTGGGGGGGGGCAGGGACTTGCACAATGTTCTTTACGTGTGGATAAGCCCAAATGAGGGAACTGTGCCATCTACGTTCACCCGACTGTAGTGAACAACTGATCTTCTCATATCTGAGCTTGCGGCTTCTTTCTGCTTGAATCATCTGAAACACGGCTGTGGCCTCTGCTCGGCGTTCGGTAGGCATGGTGATGGGGAGGATGCATTGAACCGAGCTCTGCGCGATTTCCGAACTCTCTGGGTTTTTGTCAGGATGCCACATTCGAAGGAGATCCTGGCCATCAAGTGCACCCTTGGCCTGCTTTCAGGCTGGCAACGGCAGCGGCAGCCGCACAGACCTTAAAGCCCTTCTGGCGAGCTTCGCGGGAAGGGTTCTGCTTCAAAGATTGCCTGCAAGCAAAGCCGAGCTCTCAACGAAGGGCTTAAATCGTCAAATCCGCGAATCGCGCTGCAAGCTGATCCTACCGAGTACTAAGTGCTCCTGAAAGGGGGCGAGATCTTGCATGCTAAGCTCCATACAACTGACGCATCGCAGAAGATTTAGCTGCTTGCAGTTCACCCTCAAGGCTCGGCATGTTTTGCACTGAACTCGGTCGCTTCCCATGCTCTGCTTGGACATCCCATGTATGACTGCAACGCTTCTCAGCTTTGCGCCGTGGAGAACTTCTTGGACTCTCGGAAGACCTGGAGGGCTTGAACTGGGCGCCGGACTTCTTTGCCGCTTTTTTCGCGTTTTTTTTGGTGAAGCCTGCTCGCTCCTCGCCCGGAGGTGGGATCTGGACTCATGACGTCCTGCCAACGACCCGTGCTGCACTCGTCTCAGCCAACGCCAGATGACCTGGGGCTGGCGGCGGAGGAGCCGGCCGCGGCGGCGCATGAGGGCTGGTGGGCGGCTGGGATGACCTAAGCCATCAAAGCACTTGAAGTAAAATGGGTGGTGCACCTACCCCAAAATGGTACCATTGGTTTTGACCCACAGCCAGATAACCGCAAATCTCCTTTTCGAGTGGCAGCATCTTCAAGGTGTGGGCGCTCGAGTAGCAGTGTTCAGTGTTCTCCCAGGCAAACCCCTTCTTTGTAGGCACGCTGCGCGCGGCGGGGGTCCGCATCATGCCGATTTCTGCATTCCGGGCGTGGCGGTACCTGGCACGTTCAGTTTGGATTCAAGGCACGGCTTCCTAAGTTCTGCCTGCTCCTGCCCGGTTCTTGGCGGCTCCGGCCTGGCGTCACCATGCGCTTCTCTTCGACCGAAACAAAGCTGCTTGTGGACACTCCAGGCATCAGCTATGCCCTGGACGATTGATCAGCCTTCGCCTCACTCGTGCAGCGTGGCAATCAGTGCTGACTCATGATCCCGCCTGCGCAGCCCGACGTGCCTCAGCTCAAAGCATGCACCTACTCACCCGGCTGAAACATGTGTCCAGGAATCTGGCGGCCTGTCTAGCACGATGTCTTTCATGTCTCTCAGCCTATTTGTGCGCGTCTCTTTTTAAGGAGGCACCCCAAATTTGGGGTTTTCCTTTTGGCTTTCCCTTAGAACCAACCCAAAATCGGGCTCCTAAAAAATGGCACACCCATATATCCAATGCAGAACTGAGTTGACAAAGCCCCTGCCATGCCTCCCGACGTCGCCGTTCTTCTCGTTCGGCCTCCCATCATGCACAAAACCCATAGCCCTCTCATCTGCACAGCGGACTGCCTCTTGTCTCCGCGCTCCTTCTTGCCATTGCCTTTGCTGCTCCTCCTGCGCACGGCGTTGTGTTTCTCAGGGATCCTTACATTATGCACCTGAACATTGCCTTGTAAATGGTGGTGTCCCTTTATTTTGGTGGAAAAAGCCATGTGTCAAATGGGCAAAATGTATCTTTTAAGGAGCCCTGTGTCTTTTTTTTTGTTTTTTTTGATCGATGTCTCGGTTCATACGCAGCCCCTCCTCAACCTCCTGCTGCTTTGACTGAGCCGCTCTCAGATGTTCCGCCTGCGGATTTGGAGACGAACCGAAGCGAAAAGCAGGGCAGCAAGCTGACCTCCTCCGCGAATTGACGCCGAATCTCTTTCTCCCACTCCTCCTGCTCCTGCGTATGCAACAAGCAAATAGCCAAGGTAGATGAGCCAAAGACCCCTGGCGCCTGTCTTCGCTTCCTTGCCTCATCTCGATCCCTCTGTAGCTTGCGCATCTCTTCCTGCCTCATCTCCTTCCACAAAAATAGACTGGCTAAACGAGCTGAAATGCTGAGTCGGGCCTCGAACCGTTGCTCCTCAAGCGACATGGTTACAATATCGAGTTTTGAACAACATATGTCCAGAATGACTACTTGCAGCGCTCGCGAAGCGATCTGACCTTCCCCCACATTTGATTTCTCCTCTCGGTGGCGGAGCTCTCTCAAATACTCCTGGGAATGCTTTCCGCGGCTTGCCTAGGCGCAGGCCGGCGGTTTGTTCCAGGCCAAGTGAGACAGCCTGACCACAAGCCCTGCAAACCTGTTCCTCCGAAATGGCAAGAGTACAGGAGCCCAGGGCTTACGAAAGTGCTGCAAATAAGCACCTCACCACATTCCCACATTGATGGCGGTCCTCTGCCTCCCTGGCTTCCGCATCATACTCAGCCTCCCAGCTGAAACGAGGCAACACCCCCCCACAAAAAATATATATAAAAAAACAAATAAAAAAACAAATAAAAAAAAAACTCCAGCATGTCATGCAGCCAACAAAAACAAACACCAGCAACTACCAACACATGGCCCGTGTTTCCAGCTCCCTGGGCTTGCGCACGCCTCAGCCTGCGCCCGCCGTCTCTTCAGCTCCTCATGGCGCCGCCGGTGCGCCATGGCGATCTCCTCCAGCTCCTTCGCCTGAAGAAAAAAGCGCAGGCGCTCCCGGTGGAAACGAAGACCCGTCCAAGTAACATGGAACCTGACCCTTGGGATTTTTGGGGACGTCCGGAACCCGGTCCGGCTTCAAACATGAAAATGGCCCAAACCACCCCCCCACCGAACGTCGAACGGCTCCATGTTGGTGGGAGGGAAACGCCCTCAACACCCTGCCGCAGGCGGGAATTCGTGCGAAGCTCTCTTGAAAGAGACGATTGGTCTCACATGCGCGGGATCAGAAAGTGCAGCCAATGAGACATGCAACACGCTCGAGAAGTGCTTACGCACGCCTACACTTCAGCGGGGCATTTCGGGCCGTCCAACACGAGACGATTCGAGTTGGATTTCTGCAGTCTGTCCGGCCTTGGCTTGCCATGGCTCTTCCTTGAAGCCTTCGCCTGACCGAGTTGCTTGGACCTCTTGAAACAGTGCACAGGTTTAGAACTATCCTCAAAGCCATTCTGCATTCTATGCCATTAAGTGCGGCAACTTGGACCAGCTCTGGAGTGAATGCTCAGCAACCAGGCCGATGGTACTGTTGGGAACCTTTGCTGCTTGCAAGACCGTCATGCTGGAAAGCAGCGAATCTACCCAAGCACGAGCAAAGGACACTACTAGTTTGCTGCTTTGACTGTGGAAAATGCTCTGAGTCCTCACTGTACTGTGATGCCGTATGGTAAGATGTAAAATGAAGAAGTTCCAGCTGAAGAGCCCATGCTGAGCCTTGCACATGAGACACACACACACACACATACACAGGGAGGACCGAATTGGCTCTAGAATTCAATTTGTCAATTGTTACCTCCGGACGCCTTACTGTTGAGCTCCTAGTGAAACGAATTTGAAATTGCATGCTGACCAAAACATCACACGCCCAAACCATCCAAAGCCTTCTGCTTCGTGTGAGGCTTGGCTTTGCCAGCGGTCCTGTTGCCCATGACATTCGCAGAATCGCCAAACCCGAATCCAACATAGCGCTTAGTCGCTGAGCCCTGAACAGCTGGCCCGTTCTGCTCAGGCCTACGCATGCGCCAACCTGAACGTGAGATTCTGGGTGAAACAGAAGCTTGGCGACCATGCAAAATCGCAAGACCCGGGCTTTGTGGCCGCTTGTGCAAGGAGCGGTCCAGGTGGCCCTGAAATGTCCATGGTTCGCCATGGTTGAAACAGCCCGAGCCTCACCTGCACATAGCCAGCAGCCTCACGGATTTCGGCTTGCAAGATACGGAGATACCGGGGTACCAATTGGTGAGACACAGTGGCAGCCAGCAAATGAGCGCTTGGCATCTTGTGCTGCTGAACGAGGCTCTTCAGAGCCCCTGTGGCAAACAGATTCAGACCGTTTCCATGATTTCCACGTGTCTTCCGCTAAGGCGAGAGCGCCAAATGAGACTCCCGCTCGTGGTTACGCCTGCCAAGCTAGGGCAGAGAGGGACCATCATTCACTAAAAGGTGCTGCCTGAAGCCTGCAATTCAGGGGCAAAAGCCCGTCAAGTCATGAACTATGTTCCTGCCAACCAGCCTGGCCAGGTTTTCCTGCTCCAACCTGGGCGTGGTTCGCCCTCTCGGAACATGGATTGACCCATGGTGCGTTTGCCCACTCCGGCTCCCGGCTTCCACCACGGCGGCTCATCTTTGGCCTCTGCCTGGGACTCGGACGCATCAAACTGACAGGTCAGAACTCCGGCCCCGCCTTGCGTGGTTCTGGGCTTTCATCCAAACCCCAACCTGAGCGAAGAAATGTCAGCGGAACACCCCAAGGCCAAGCGCTCTCAAGTGTCTGACGGGCGTGTTGTTGTTCAGATGGCTTTGGGATTGGCGGCCTGTCGCGAGTCTTCACTCCTGTCCCGTATGAAGAAGACCGAATAAGCCAACGCAAACCAATCCAAGCCATGCCCAGGCTGGCAGCTTCGACTTGCCTCAGGCTCACCCGTGCCCAAGCCGAGCGAACGAGCACCGTTTAGCATGGACTCCAAGCCTAAGATTCGGACTGATGCGGGGTTTCGGCACAGGCGGCGGGCAGCCATAAGGGTTCTCAGAGCGCCTGGAGGGTGTCTTTTTGGGTGGGTTTTTCAGGGAAAAAAGAAAACCAACTATAGGGTCCCTTGTTTTGCCCGAACAGCCAAGTGAGCTGCAAAGCCTGGAGCGCAATTTGCTTAGCACTGCCACTGCTTCCTCCGGCCTAGGCTCGTAACTGCCAAGACATCAAGGCATGCGGCACATGAGTCTCCCAAAACATGCTTGTCGCGCGGACATCGTGAGTTTGACATCCACAGAACCCCACCGTATCGCCAATGACCACCAATATGCAACCATTTTGCTGCCATCTGAGGCAGGTGCAAGTTAAATTGATTCCTCAACTCTGCCTCTACTTCCTTGCGCCGCCTCAAGCGAACTGCTGCAGGAGGCAAACGCAGAGGATTTTCTGAGGATGCGGCTGGTATAATTTGGAGTGCCTGCCTGCCATCATCGGGTCGGTTTCCTGCACATGATGTTTACGACAAACGCAGTTGCCCATGTGCAAAACACTCGGGCATCCTCTTGAGAACCGGTCGGTGGTGCGCTCTGCACCTTGCTGGTGGGACAATGGGCGTGTGAGCGCTGATTGTTTGTAAGCCGCGAGTTGTCGCTTTCGTGTCCCTGCTGTGTGCCCTCCAATTGGAACTGCCCCACAGCACGAGCACGCTGGCCTTGCGTACATCGTCACCAGAATCAGACCTGTCCGATGATAGCAGCTCTGGCACAGCAAAATGCCATGAAGAGATGCGAGTTAGAAATTGTCGCCCACTTGGAATTCCAATCCTTTCACGTTACTGACCAGCATATTGTTTTTTCAACAGCAAGTGCATCTTTTCTATGCCAGCACAAGTTGAGGAAGACACATGTCATGCATCAATCTTGCAGTTTCAAGGCTCAAGCCTCTGTGGATTTCGTGGTGGCGGTGTCACGGCCGGCGGACCTTGCGCCAGCCGTGAACTCAGCCATGCAAGGACATGCACTGAGAGCGGCACGTGCAGGTGGGGGTGGCTGCAAGCACCTGCTTGGATCAGCCCCAACGACACACCCGGTGATGCGACAAAATCCACGTGCTGAATCTCTGCGTTCACCACATCTGGCTGGCATCCAAAAACATCCCAAGTTCGGATGTTATCCTTTCCAAAAAATCGCGTCGGTATGGGCAAAGAATGCTGGCACACAGTGGCACGGCGTCTATACGCGACGGTGCAGTAGTACCATTACATGGTACGGTAGTAGCATGTTACAGCCGCACATGAATGACCTCCATAAAACTTCGGTTGCTGAGGTCTGGACTCCATGCTGGGCTTGCGCCCTCACCTGGCACAAATGTAACTAGTCTCGCGCTTGTCACAAAAATATCGGCATTGACACCCCTCCCTCCAGCCTTGGGCTGGTCGGTCCAAGACCTTTCGCAAAAGCCCCTTCCCGCATGCGAAAAACATGAATGCACCTGCCTGGCGCGCTATGGCGCGCCGCCCATCGCCCACAACCATCCTTCGAACTAAGCCATTTTGCTGCTGCCGCGGTGCCGAGCGCAAACCTCAACTATAAGTCCCCTACGTGGGTTATAGCCAGGCTTTTTGGCCATACCTTGCCCCTTGAAGCAGGCCATGCTAACCCCGCACGTGCAAACTAGCATCGTCCGGCTATACATAATTGACAAGGCGGTGCCAAACGTCACTGGTGATTGTGTTTTTTTTTTTTTTTTTTTTTTTTTTCATTCCGTGCGCGCCAGTACAACCACGTACGGGACACAAATGAGTTGTGTACAGTAATTTGCCTGCGTGCGAGGGGGCTGGAACACAGAGCGCGGCGGGCGGCGGAGAGCTCGCCCGGGTGGACGAGATGGCGCGCAAAGCCACCGCTTCCAAGCGTGTGTGGCCGAGAGGTTGTCGTCCTGTCGCTCTTGGATCTCCCTATCCGACAGCCGCGCCCGCTCAGCCCTTTCCAGCTTTTTTTTCCCGCGCGCCTTTTTCCGCAGCATCACAGCAGCTACGAGGTGAAACACAACGAGCGGCGGGCGCAAGCTCAACCGGGCAGGCGGCTCGGCGCAGGCCCACTCTCCCATCTGGCGTCGGCGAGCAGATCGCTCACCGGCGGCTCGGCGCCATCAACGCACGTCTCCCCGAACAGCGGGAGCTGCAGCAGGCTGGCGGCGAGCGCGGGCTGCGCGGCGACTGCGAGGAGGGCAGTCCACCGCCGCACGTGCGCCTGCACAGCCGCTCCGCGCAGCAGTTCGGGGACACGGCGCGACTTGGCGCGCGCGAGCAGGCGCACGAAGGCCACCCCGTCCGGGAGCCACCGGCCACCGACCTCGAGGCCGAGGACAAGCAGGCGGCACCGGCTCCGGAGGAGCTCAGGGTAAGTGTGGTGGCGCTTGCGGCGTCCAATCTGGCGCAGGACTAGGCCGGGTTCACCGTCAGCCCCCGGCCGCGGAGCGCCGTCAGCTCGGACGGGGCTGACAAGGGTGGTGTCCACAGCGACCTGCACACCGCCCCAGATGGGCAGGGCATTGGCCACAACCTCCAGGCGGCGGTCATCCAGCACCGGCGCGTCGAGGTTGAGGTCGCGCAGGAGCACGTTCTCGGCCACACGGGCGCCGGCCTCGCGGCAGATCCTGGCAGCTGTGAGCCTAACACGCCAGCGCGCGCGCACGCCGCATGGTGGTCCCCCAAGGCATCCAGCGCGCCCCGACAGGGGCACACCCGCTCGCTGAAGGGAAGCGGCACGCGCAGGCGGCTCAAGGCCGCAACGCGAAAGTGAGGGTGCGGGACGTTGAACTCGGGGGCAGTGGGGAGGACAGTGAAGAAGCACCCGGCATGGTCGCCTGCTTCGGAAAGGAGCAGCGCGCGAGAGGCAGGATCAAGGTCCGCAAGCTGACCAGCCTCGTCAGCGGCGTCAAGCAACATTCCGGCAGCACGCTGCCATCCATGAGCGTAATCGCCAAAGTCTCTACCCTGGCTGCGCGGGTCAAGGCGCAGCAGCTCGGGGGGCTGGAGGCCATCAGCCCGCAGCGCCTCAGCGGCCTCCGCCGCGGCACGCACGCTGGGCGCGCGCTGTCCGCCCGCGGCGAGCGAAAGAGCCAAGTTGCGCGACGACCGGGCGCCGCTCTTGGATCATGGGCAGGGTATCATCCCAAGATTCCCAGTAGGCAGCAGACCCCCCTCGCCCGGCAGACCGCAAGCCCATCCCGCCCCTCGCCAAGGGTAGTTGGGCCCGTCGGCGCTGCAGGGCATCGAGCTCGAGGGGCTCCTCAGCGCTCAGGAGCCGCCCCAGGCAGCGCAGCACCGCCGCATCGTGCTTGCGGGCGAAGGCATGGGTGTGGCAAGGGGGCAAGATGCGAAGGAGGTAGTTGGCACGGGGCGCGCCACACAGCAGCAGTATCAGCCACGCCGACTGCAGGTGCGGCACGGCAGGGATACGCTGCAGGAATGTGTCCTGGGACGCGCGCTTCTCAGCCAGGAACGCTTGTGTGAACGCGTGGCTGCCGAGAGGGGACCCGAGGACTTGCTGGTGGCAGGGACAGGTCGCCCACCCAGCTGGGGTCTTCGGCGGTCCCGAAGGCGTCGACGCCCGGCGGCAGCACGCCGCCGGCGTTCCAAGCGCGAGTCTTCCCGAAGTTAACCTGGATGCTGGCATGCGCTTGCAAACGCGCCTGCAAAATCTCGAAAATGGCACGCGCACGGCCGGGCCGCGAGAGGATATAGATGTCATCCAAGAAGGTGAAGAGGACCCCCCTAGGATATAGATGTCATCCAAGAAGGTGAAGAGGACCTCCCCTGGCAGCAGCATTGCCTGTGTGGCCTGCAGAGCTGGGTGCTGCGCGAGCGCAAACAAGCCAGGCATCAGGGGGTCGCCCTGTTCGCCCCCTTCGCCTTGCTCGACGACATGCGCCAGGCCGTTGTCGTCGTACCACAAGTATTGTCAGGCCTAGCCATAGAATTGCCGCATGCACGGCAGAAGCGGAGCGAGGCGCTCGTGCGACGCAAGCTGGGACAACATGCTCGCCCGCGAGACGTGGTCGAAGGCGCCCACCCCATCGATGGACAGCACAGTGGCCTCGTGGTCGGCCTCAGTGGCCGGGACAAGTCCTCGGGAGGGATGCGCCCTCCCCGCACTGCCGGTGCAGCAACATGCGTGGCGCCAGTAGCAGCAGCTTGTTTTTTCCCTTTTTTTTCTCACACGCCTTTGTGCACCAGCACGAGTCGAGTCTCCCGAAACCCTGCCTAAGGGGGCCCCCCAGGCACCAGGGGCACTCACGCTGTTTTTTTGGAGGCCAGCGTCCTCACCTGCTCAAGCGGCTTGCAAAGGGCGGGGGGGGGCGGCCTCCGCAAGGAGCTCACTGAGTGGCGGAGCGTCGCCGTCACAGTTGGACTGGCCAGGCGAGACAGATCCAAGGAGGAGGGACTCCGCGAAAGCCTGGTGGGCGGCAGAAGCGAGCAAGGCGGACCAACGGGCAACGAAAGGGGACGCGACTAAAGGCTGAAGGAGGGCCGGCGTGGAGCGAGCTCGCGCACGAGCGAGGCTGCGGAGGAAGCTGCACGCTTCAGGGCTCCAACGGCCCCCGACCTCGATGGCAAGCACGACAAGGCGGCACCGCTGGGGTCGCAGCAGCTCCGGGCAGGTGCGGGCCGAGCGGAAGGTTGCCCGCAGCAAGCCACGGGCGGCGGCAGGCACCGCCTGGAGCGTAGACACGCGTCGCTGCAACTGCTCTCGCAAATCCACGGTGTCCAACACGCACAGATGCTGACGCAGGGGCCTGGGGCCAGCAGTCAACCACCAAAGGGCGGCTGCCGCCGCGGGCAGGGCCCCGTTGTCGGGCGCCCCTGCCACGGGCGGGGCCTGGCGCAACATCCTCCGAATCACTGCTGGGAGGCACGGGGGGCACGGCAGGCAGGCCAGGCGGGCCCTGGCCAGGCTCGGCACGAAAGCGGTCGGCCAACCGGTCGATCTGCCTCGCTCCGCGCAGGCCGAGGAGTTCAACCAGCAACGCTTCCTGAGCAGCCGGTATGTAGAAACCCTGTCCTGGGTCAGCCAAACACTCGACAGTGGTCGCCACAGGGATGTTCCCGCGGCTGCGCGCCGCGTATGCGAGGAGGCGCTGGCCTGGGTTGAGCCTCGCCAGCAGGGATGGCACGCGCGCACCGCTGGCATTGCCACTGTGGCAGCCACGCAGCTATGCCTGCCACATGCCGGACGGGCGCCGGGGACCACACGGCATCCCTATACCAACTCGACAAAGTCCGCGCCTCCATGCGGGCCCCGCACTGCAGCCAAGCGCCGGCAACAAAACACTGACACACGCTTGGGCGCACATGGCTCAGGCGCATCGGCTTCAGTAAACGTGCGGGGCGTGTAGTCGCCCACCACAAGGCGCGCAGTGGGTGCCTTGCGGAGGCGTGTGGGGATGGGCATGGACAGCTGGGCACAGAGATCGCTCAGAACGGCGTCGTGACGATCTGTCCAACCCTGGGCGGAGCAACCGCTGCAGAAGCACCCGCGGCAAAGCGGGCACAGCAGGTCAGCCGCTGCTGTAGCCTGAACACGCAGTTGCGCAGCGCAACCCAGGTGGAAAAAGTGCGACGCACATGCGGGGAATGCGATGACGGTGGCCGCTCCAAGGCTTTGCGGCTCCAGCGCTTCAAAACATATGTGCACACTTGTTCCTCTCCGCCCGCAGGGGGGGTTACAGCACCTGCAAGCAACGGTGCCTCGGTCCCGGCCCGGGCCGGCGCCAGACTTTCATCTCCGGAGGAGATGGCTGTAATGTCCGGCGCGGTACCCGCAAGGGTTGCGGACGTCAGGAGCAGAGTCGGCGTACACGGCGTGCTTGGAACAGGTGCTGGCCGTTCCTGGTCCTGGAAAGCGGTTCGCGGCGTCGCGGGGAGGCGCTGCGACGTCGCGCTGTGACATGTTATGGCGCAGCCGGATGGTGCACCTTTGGTTTTCTCAATGCAAACGGCGCAAAGACTCAGAGCCAGCACGCTGCGCCGCTTCGGACGCGTGCCCGCTGTCAACGGCACCGAATAAACTATCCTCAGCCGTGCAAATATTTTTCACCAGCGCCTGAGGCCAGAGGCGGGGGAGCTCGAGGGCCAGCTATGCCCCAAACAGAACACAAAACTTGAGGCCCTCGCGACGGTGCAGCCTTAGGCGGTGGCTGCCAAGGCAAAGCCGAAACAACACAAAAATCTGAGGCCCGAGCCAGGAGTGCGACACGGCGTGCAAAAGCCGGAGGCCAGCACACCGGCCACGCAAAGCAAAGTGCGGGAAGCCAAAGGCGAAAAGAGGGGGTAACCGGTGTAGGCACGTCTGCCGGCACGCACAGGCCAAAAGCCAGCGCGCCGCAGGCGGGCCCCAATGCACCAAGGCAGTGCAAAAACCAGGCGCGCGCAGCGGGGCCTTGCGACGCGCTAGCTTCGGAAGCCAGGGTGTGCGAAGCCAGCACCCGCCACACGGGCACCACCTGGAAGGGCCCCAGCACTTGGAAAGGCCAGGCGAGGCAGCCCTCTCGGCACGGCGCGGCGGAGGGGGGAGTGGGAGGCCTGGAGGACCGTGCGGGAGCCGGGGAAGGGGAGCCCGAAGAAACACTCCCGCTCCCGTAGCTGCGGCTACGGCTGCTCCGAGGCGACCGGCGAGGGGACGAAACCGGGGCGATGGCCCCCCCCCCTCTTCAGCTCCTTCCACGCAGCGACCGTTGAAGGACAGGAGGACACGTTGCATGCACGACCCACTATCAACCTACCTCACCCGAACAAAAACCCCACGCGAAAACGCCCCCAGGAACCAAACCACCAACCCCAAACAAGGGAAAAAAACAGGGGGGCCCCAGAACCAACGAAAAACAACGTGCCCCCAGGCCACGGCTTGCCTTGAGCCAAAATGGTGGACCTGGTTGATGTCTGGGCCTTGAAATTTGCCTGGCCAAGTCCGGCAGGCAGGAGGCCTTGCAGGCGATCCGATGGCTGGGCTCGGACCGCGTCTCTGTGTAGGAGAGTTTGTTCGGTCGCGCTCGGGGGCGGTCAGGCTAGTCTCGGTCTGCAGGATCCGCAAGTCAACGGCTTGGGGCGCAACAGTTGCGATCTACCGGAGTTGAGGGAAGCTATGCGCTGAGCAAGCTGAGTGGCGAGCTGGTCGGTCGCCTAGGAAAAATTGGAGGAGGGCCTCCTGCGCAGGGCAACAAGGCAACCATCATGGGACAACAAAGGCGAGGGCGGCGCTGACCAGGCTGGACCACCGATGGACGTAGGCTGACCGAAGGGCTGGCTGCAAGGCTGCAGGCTGCGGCGTGCGCCTTGGCCTGAACATGCAAGCCCAAAAAATCTGCAGCTTCAGAACTCCGCGGGCCTCGATGCGAAGCACGACCACCCAGCCTCACAACACGTGCGGCCCTGCTGCCCGGTGGTCTCTCAAGGCATCATGCTCCCGCCCGCAGGCGCAACGTGCGGGCAGCAAAGGCAGTGGAAGGCGAAGCCGCCTCAACAGGATCACACGGAATGCAGGGCGCGGGGAGGACCTGGGCGGAGCACGGGCCAGACTGGGACAACAGCATAGCTACCGAGGCGGGGTCAAGCCCCTCACAATCATTGCTGGCTTGCCGAACCTCAGGGGTGACTGACGCTGCTTGCTGCCACCCACGCAATTGGTTCTCGACCTCCCGCGGCGCCTGTGTGTCATGGCAAACAAGCATGTGCCAGAAAGGAGTCCCGAACCCAGCGGCGACCACTCGACAACTGCTGCGGTCTCCAGTTAAAGGACAATCGTCTGCGCCAAGGCTGGTTCCCACCTGCGCGTGCCCGGCAAGCATCTGCCCACGAGGCCCAAAAAGCAGAGGTTGAAAGGGCGAGTGCGGATCTCAAGCCCAAACCGCCATGCCGCAAGGCAAGCTGCGCTTGCACTGCTGCCGCGCCTGGGAGAGGGCCTCCCTTCGCGCCGTCAAGCAGAGACGCTAAGCATCGGGAAATTGCCTCATCATGCGCTTGCGCAAAGGCGGCCGCGAGCGCTGGCGGCTCCATTCGAAGAGCATAGTTACACCGGGCCGAAGCACAGTACAGCAACAACAACCAAGCAACTTGCAAATCGGGAAGGGTCGGAAGGGTTCGCAAGTGCCAAGCTGGGCCTGCACAAATGCATCCCAGCCTATGGAGGCAATTCGGCGCTCCCCTCCAGGCGCTGTTGGTTGCAACCGCTGCAAGGCCTGGAGGCTCGACACCTCCTGCGTTCCCACCTCGGGGTCTTAGCTTGACACAAGGAAATGCGTGTGTGCTCCACAGGCATTGGGAGATGGCCTCGAACAAGGGCCTGACTTGGTCGGGCTGGCACGAAACACCGGCAGAACTTATCCAATTCATCGGCGGGTTGCCGCCAGCAGGTCGTCGGCCAACGCAGTGAGAGCTTGGCAGGCGATATGTCCAGCATCCAATATTGAAGCAGCACCTTGGCAGACCAGGCTTGCGCCTTCAGTGTCACATCATGCCAAAAAAGTCGTTCATTCCACTCACCCAAAATCTCATGCGGTTGGTCCCACTGCGCCGACGGGGGAGGTCCCACCACCGCAGTTCAGGAGCTGTCTATGGGCGGAGGCCACCAGCTGCACATAAAACGATGGGGGTGATGCCATCGACGGAAAGATGCGCAGAAAATACCAAACACGGCCCTACCCTTAAAAGGGGTGGACAGCAGGGGGGTTCGCGCGGATGTCGTTTTTTTGAAAGGTGGGGCACTTTGGAGCCTTGAGCGCTAAGAAACATCAATATAGCGTCCTAGGCCTCTGCGGGGCACGGTGGAAATGGCATGCAGCTTCTACTTTTCTGCGCGTGTTATTGTGTGGGATCAAGCAATGGTTCCGGAAAGGTGCGAAAGTCGCCCTGGGCAGCAACCCCCACAAAAAAAAAAAACGGGAGGCCCGCCCATAAAACAAGCGGACAAACGGCAGGAGGGCGCTGGCCGCCGGAGCACCTCGAAGCGCACCGAACGCGGCGTTGCGGCTGATGAGGTCGAAAGCCCCAACGCCATCAACCGACAACACAGTCAGGTTGGGGTCCGATTCCGTGGACGACTGCAAGCTGTGCGCAGGAGCCTTGGTGCCCGCTAGGGCTGGCACGCTGCATCGAACGCCGTTCCGAACATGCCTCGGACGCCTCCGTTCGGCTCTTGCAGGGCAACCAGCGGCCACGACCGAGAGCTGCAGCACTGGCGGGCGGCGGTTGCACTCGAGCAAGCAAACCAGGCAACCGCCTGCAGGGCATCAGTGGACGTGGGGTCGTCCAAAGGCAAGCAGACGATCTCGGCGGTGCGCCCGCTGGTGCAGCACCGCGGCGGGCTCGGGGCGGAGCAGGGAGCGCGACAGGGTGACAGGCAGTTCTGGGTCCAGGGGCTCATACGGCTGGGCCGGCCGCCGAGCAGGATCAGTGAGCTGACGCAAGGTGGGAGTGCCCGGAGCAAGTGGGTTGGATAAGGCCTGCCGGGCAGGAAGCTGAGGTGGTCAGAGACTCCGGGGACCGAGTCGGGGGTCACGGGCCGTTTGCTGGAGAGGTTCGGGGCAAGGGCAGAGGTGGCCTGGAGCAATGCGAAGCTCCCGGAAGCCAGGAGCTGGCGCCGGCAAACAGGCACTTGGTGGCGTGGGACAACTCGCCCCAGCGGATCTGGTAAAACGAGAAGAAAAAAAGAGAAACAAAATTAAAAAAAAGGAAGAAGAAAGAGAAGAAAACAAATTCTGCGCGCGGCCACCACGGCCAATAGAGATCCAAGACTGCCCGGAGTTGAGGGAAATCAGCAGAAGAACCCACAACATTGCTGGCGCTGTGTTGCCGGAGCATGCGGACATAGAAGTGCACCTCGGGTGGATTCGGATCTGGAATGCTCCTAAGGAAGAACTGGTCGGCGTGCCTTCACGCAGGACGATTCGCCCGAGCACCAACGGGTTGCTCGACCGCATCCCTTGAAGCTCCTCTTCTGCGCATGGCCGGCGCGTATGCCGCTGGCCACGACCATGCGCTCGCAGTTTGAGTCAGGGCTCACGGCCGCACGGCGCCGGTGCCGCCGCGCTAGGCACGCTGCAGTTGCTGCGGGCGAAAACGATCATGCGTCACCTTCAGGCGCATGTGTCTCACCGAAGCAAATAGCATCCCACCTACCTGCGGATAGTTTTCGCAAGCATTCTGCAATTCTTTCTGGCGTGTCGTTTTGCTTTCTTCGCAAACACATGTGGGTGTGTGTTCGCCAAACATGTTTCCTCGATTGCGTAGGGCATGGATGGCACATCCCTGACGCAAAACTCGAATGGAGTTGCACCTAGGAAGTGGAGCCTCCATGTTTGCTCTTGCCTCCTCCCTTGCCCTGCCTTTGGCAGAATGTTGTGGGTGAAACGCAGCCTATGACCCTAGCAGTTCAGCAGCCCTCACTGTCAGGACCGCAACGGTGCCGGCTGCCTCGCCAGGGTCGCGGCCGCCAGCACCTCGGGCAAGGGCGGCTTCCTGCTCACCTCTCAGTCAGTCTGTTCGGTCTCAAATCTCAAAGTACGGCAGAGCGGCCTCACTCTCTAGGTCCACCCTTCATGTTCTCCTCACGCGAAGAGCAATGAACTTAGGCTGTGGCGAGACGTGATCTCCCGGCTTCGAGAACAAGCTAGTGGAGTAGCAAGAGGAGGAGACCAAGATTAAGAGAACATGGGAAAAAGGAAAGAGGAAGGGAATGTGTGGAACAAACAGGGAAAGAATTGAAGGCAAAGGAGGGCAAGAGAAAGACAATGATAAGAGGAAAAGACAGCGGAACGGGAAGGAAAAGGGAAAGGGGAAGGAAAAGGAAACGAAAAGGGATAGAAGCGAGAGAAGGGAAGAAAGGCAACAAGAAATGAAAGGCAAGCAGCAAGGGGCAGGAAGCAGAAGAGAAGGAAATGAGAAAAGAAAGGGAAAGCAACAATTGAGAAAAGGACACGTCTGAGGAACCTGAAACCGATGTGGGACCAATGTGGAGCAGCACAAACTAGAAAGGGACATAGGCACAGGGAGAGAAGAACAAGCTCCCTTGGAAGCTGGCCATTCGCTCACGCACATCTCCTTGATGAAATTCTTCCTCCGGCTTTGCGAAGCTTTCTGAAGCTGCTGCTCCATCTCTTTTGTCAACCTGAGCGACTTTGCGTTGGTGGCAGCGAAACTTGGCTTGCAGGTTATCAATATGGGGTGTGTCTTTTTGTAGACCTATGAAATGGGTGGATTTCCTTTTGGCTTCCATTTAACCCCCCCAAAAAGAGGTACCTCAAAAAAAGTGACGTCAGCTTCCCGTAGACTCCAAAAGGCGCATTGACCCCGGCCTTGTGGCCACCTTGGGCTTGTCAACCACCGGCGCCGAGTACTTTGGATGGGTTCCTCTCACCATGTAAGACCAGTACACGTCCTGCGCGACGTGGCTCTCACATCGGAGAAAGTGACCACCGTTGAACGCATTCTCAGCGACCACCGAAAGAAAAAGAAGCCCCAACAAAAACGAGCGCCTCGCACGAGACATGGGATGTGCGGCAACGTGACTCGCAAGTGCCAAAACCAACTCCACTGGATCCAACCCATTTGAGACGAATGCCGGCCATTGACTGAGCGCTACTGGGAGCTGCGATACAATTTTTCCCCCAGCCATGTCAGTCTTCACAGACACAGAAGGGGCAAGTGCATCTATCAGCCATCCCTTTGGATGCCTCCGTCTGGATGATGAGCTTGCCCTGCACAGGCTTGCCGTACTCGGTGGGTTTGTAGGTGACAACCTCAGCACAGCATGTTGCACTTCGTGTCCCGCGAGTGCCCAAAGGCTCACAATGGGAACCACTGCTGTCGAACCTGCAAAAAGCTTGTTGCAAATATGCATGTTGCCACATGTCTCCATTTAAGCGCATGTGGGGACAAGAGCAACCAACCAGAAAATCGCGGACCGAATTCGGCTTCCCCTTTCAAAGTTGATCCATCCATTTCAAGGCGCAAAGGTGGTACCACTGGTGCCTGCGGGCTCCAGCACTCCTGAGGTGGGCTGCACGGTGAACTCGTAGGCGGATTCCGCGTCGAAGAAGGCCTCGAACTCCGAGTACACGCTGGTGTGGTTGTTCAGTCGGAAGGCAACCTCGGCAGAAAAGAACAGAAAGCATCCCGCTAATTGATGCATGCGCGACGGGGGAGAAAAAAAAGTCTGGTTTGCGGATGCCTAGACTATCCAGGCAGGTGAGACTCGTTGCAAACAAGTCACACTCGCAGGTTTGTTGAGCGGCGACTGGATGGATATCACGTCATCCACCTACAACGTTTCCAGTTGTATGCGACGGTGTGTGCACTGCAAAAAGATTGATCAAAAATGGGATCATGTTGAACAAGAATAGATGTCCTTGATCTGCATCGAATTGGAAAGTTGAACTCATAGTTTTCGAGACCTCCTTTTGTTTGGTTTCGAAAGCCGAAAATAGCCAAGCATTGGGGTGCTGTCCAATCCAAACGGAAAATGGCACCACAAAAAAACGTTGTTTTGCAGCCTACTAGACATGAAGAGAGCCGAAACAGTGTACATTAAGGAACACTAAAACTCAAAAAACAACAACAACAAAAAAAGCCAACAACAACAACAAAAAAAAAAAGACGTGGGCTTCAGCTCAGCCGTCGAGCTCCTCAAGCTCATCCCCTCGCCTCGGGCTCAGTGGCCTCCAGTTTCAGGTCAAAGCGCCAGCGCCCGCCAGAGGCCCTCGTGAGCACCAGGTTGCCTCAGCACCCGAAAGCTCAGTGAGTGAAACTTCAGGGACATGAAGATTGAAGGGAGTGACGAAACTGACTGACTTGCTCTCTTGATTGGTTGGGTGGTTGATTGGTTGATTGGCTGATTGGTTGATTGGTTGATTGGTGAGGTTCATTGGTTGGTTGGTTGATTGCTTGATTGGTTTCTTGGTTCATTGGTTAATTGGTTAGTTGCCTGGTTGCTTGGTTGATTGGTTGGTTGGTTGATTAGTTGGTCGGCTGGTTGATTGGATGGGGTGATTGGTTGGTTGGCTGGTTAATTGGTTCATGGGTTGATGGGTTGATTGGTTGATTGGTTGACTGGTTGATTGGTTGATTGGCTGATTAGTTGGTTGGTTGATTAGTTGGTTGGCTGGTTGACTAGTTGGGTTGATTGGCTGGTTGGCTGGTTGATTGGTTGAGTTGATTAGTTGGTTGGCTGGTTGATTGGTTGATGGGTTGATGGGTTGATTGGTTGATTGGTTGACTGGTTGATTGGTTGATTGGTTGATTGGTTGACTGGTTGATTGGTTGATTGGTTGATTAGTTGGTTGAGTTGGTTGGCTGGTTGATTGGTTGGGTTGAATTGTTGGTTGGCTGGTTGATTGGTTCATGGGTTGATGGGTTGATTGGTTGATGGGTTGACTGGTTGATTGGTTGATTAGTTGATTAGTTGGTTGGTTGAATAGTTAGTTGGCTGGTTGATTGGTTGGGTTGATTAGTAGGTTGACTCGTTGATTGGTTGATTGGTTCATTGGTTGATGGGTTCATGGGTTGAGTGGTTGCCTGGTTGACTCGTTGATTGGTTGTTTGGTTGGGTTGATTAGTTGGTTGACTGGTTGATTGGTGGATGGTTGATTGATTGATTGGTTCCTTGGTTGCTAGGTTGCTCAGTTGCTTGGTTGCTTGGTGTATTGGTTTATTGGCTAGTTTGATTGCTTGGTTGGCTGGTTGATTGGCTGTTTGGTTGCTTGGTTGACTGGTTGATTGGTTTCTTGGTTGATTGGTTGATTGGCAAGTGCATTTCTTGCTTGATTGCTTGCTTGCTTGGTTGACATACTGCATGCCCCTGGTGGTAAAGCACTGATGCAAAGGACGAAGGTATGAACCAAACACAAGTCTTCGGAGCCCCGGAACGAGGCTACATATCCATCCTGCAAGCCGCGGGGCAAAGCGCCACGAATGGCCGCAGAGGCGAAAAGTTCACCTGCGCGCATGCTCTGAGGCCCAACTAGCGCAAGCTAAAAGAAGCCTGATTTCGGACAACCTTGGGTTTTGGACTGTTGTGAGCTTCTTACGTATGTGTCAAGACACGCATTTTTCTCAGGTTCTCATGCATGTCTTTGGCACCAACAGAGCTTTGCGGCACCCTGCATCGCATCCGCATCGCCCCTCGCCCCCAACACCTTCAAGTGCACTTGGCCATCCTGCTTGCCAGATCTCGCCCTCGACGCCTGGGCCAAAAGGCGCAGTCAAACCTCTGGCTGCTGGGTTGACGGCTTGCAACCAGTGCCAACCATTCTCAATTCGAGTCCAAGCCTATACCAGCTGGCTGACTGATGTGGACATGGCATATCTCAAAACTAGCCACGAGGCCAGAAACTCGGAGGCACTTTTCGAAAAACACGAACACGCAAGGGAACGCCTTTAGAGTCGCATCTTATCATGTGTTTGTTCTTCTCTGGCAAATGGTGCTAACCGGCTTACAAACACGCCCTGCCTGGCTGGAGGCAGTGCGCGCGACCGCTTCGCCATCGAGGCTGATGTCGAAGCACTTGGAGACCTTGGAGGTTTCCGCTCTCGCCCCCCCCCCCCGACACTCGGAGAGGAGCCTGCAATGACACGAATTTCATCTGAGGCTTTAGATTAGTTTGATTGAAGCCTCCGATTGAACGAGTAGTGAGGCAAACCCCTCTGAAAGCCTCTGAGGCATTTGATTAGTTTGCTAACTTCTTGTTTCACATTCAATGATTTGATGAGTTTCCCCTCTCTGAGAGAGCAATGAGACACATCTGGATTCAGATTTCGATGCTCTATTGATGGCATTCCAACCCACGCAACCCAAAAACTCCTGCGAAGCCCAGCCCGCGGCATCCCTCGCCCCGCGTCTCTCCGCGCGCCGAGGGGCCATGGCCTGGTGCTGCTGCGGCACCTCCAGCTGGCAGCTCAGCTGGTCGCCCCGGTCGGTGCTCTCCAGGCCGATGAGCGTCAGGGCGTAGGTGGTCTGCAGCGCCTCCCGCGCCTGGACCTGCAGCACCGAGACAGGTAAGGCGCCCCCTCCGAGTCAAAGGGGGGGGGGGTATACTGGACACTTTATGGTATTGGTTTTTTCGGGTTCATGGTTGCAAAATAGACTCTGGGTGTCCATGGCACGGGGGAGGGGGTGCTGGGCGCTGGCTGGCAAAAGGAGCGAGTGCTCCGAACCAAAAACGAGAAGAGAGTTGGTGCTTTCGACGTGGAGCATTGGGAGGGAAACTAAAGCGCTTGCATGCAGTTCTCCAGCTGTGAAACATGGTCGACCTTTGGAAACTACTCATTGCACTCATCCAAGAAAAACTGGAGCAATGCGCTTCACCACGTGAAGCTGCTTGCCCACAATCTCTCTAACGTTATTTCCCTTTCACCGCCCCGTTCAGCTCCCCTTCTCATTGGCAGACTTGGTAATTTAACTCGGTGTATTTCTGCTCCCCTGCTAAAAGTTTAACTTTTAGTGGTTTAATGGAAAACCCAATAGTTGGCAAAAAGTTAAAGCCCTAACATCCAAGCAACATGCACCAAAGTAAACGTCAGCTGACGTCAAGCGGCCGTGAAGCTGTGCAGCGTGGGGTCCGCCGGCGCCTCCGCCACACCCTGGATGCGGTAGGACCAGGTGAGATTCGGCTTCATGACCTCGGCGTCAAGGAACGGGTCCCAGCGCCGGCTGGAGCTTTCTGTCAAACAAAGGGTGGGCCAGATATTGCTCTTGCTGGCGCGTGCCCATGTCCACCTTTTTTTTAAGTGCCCACGATTTTAATGTTCTTTCAGCAGCGAACAGCAATGGAACACTCGGTGCTGGATTGGCTACTTACGCTCACAGTCATGATTATGCTCTCCCTTCTTGCGAAGGTGCTGATAGTGCTATCTCCGCAGTGTGTTGCGTCATGGTCGGCGGGCAGAAGGAGAAGGGAATCTGCGTTGTCGCCAGCGGCCCAATCTGCACCTCCACTTGGGCCAATGCCATTTCAACTTGCCAAACTGCAGTTTCCAAAGGTTTAAGGGCCCGTTGATTGTCTCGCCCACATTGACCTTTCCTCACCTTGCACAAGGCTCGGCAAATTCATGCCTGCTATGGATGCCGACCCAGCCAGGGGTTCAACTGCAGTATCCCCCAAAAGGAACCCTGCCCTTGACAGCCGTAGGAAGTGTAAAAAGAAGTGCGCACTGTGCAAAGTCGCGCCTTGGCTTTCTTGCTGAGCAGGTTGAAGACGCCCTTCTCGCTCTTGGACTCCAGGACGATGAAGATGGTGATGGTCTCCAAGAAGGGGTTCCTGAGGATAAACCACAAATCAAAGTCAAACGGTGGGTAAAACAAGCTCAACGTCCATCCAACGAAAAAACACACCTTGCCATAAGTCAAGGAACAAACACTACGCAGAGGCATGTGCCAAGCCTTCAAGTGATACTGTTGCAAGCCTGCAAGGGCCCTAAATCTATGCAGGCTCTATGCAGGCCGATGCACAGCAGGAAATTGATCAGCTCCAGTGGCGCCCATGCACGCACGCAAACACACGCGTGAGACTCATTCAAGAGCGCACACGCAAGGAGGCAGAAAGCCAATAACACGCAACTTCATCCCAAACCCTAAATGTCCCCTACAGGTGAAAGTTGAACAACCTACTGTGGATCAAGGAGGCAGCAAGCCACAAAACACAACTTCATCCCAAACCCTAAATGTCCCCTAAATCTGCAGTTTAACCGGCACCTTCCAACCGCATCCGTGCCATCCGCGCTATCCGCGCTATCCGTGCCATACCAGTACCGGGGCGCTTAAACTGGATCGTGGAGGACACGGTGCGGTTCACCTGCGCCGCCACCGTGACGCTGCGCGACTCCAGCGGTGGCAGGCCCAAGCCCTGCGCCTGGCAAGGGCGGAGAGTCGCGTTACCTATGCAAAGGGTACGTCAAGGTAAGTGCTCAATAAGCCGGGTGAAACGACACTGAACAGAGACTTGTCACCATGGCTTTTGTGGGTTAGACCCAGGCCGATCGAGGTAGGGTTCGTCAAGTAAGTGGTGAGAGTAAGCCTGGACTTTTATCCCATTGAAGGGAGACTTATATCAACTTTGTTCCATGGTAAGAGAGGCTTCCTAACCACTTTCTAAGTACCCGATCGCTCCTTTAAGTACGGTGTTCTTGTCATGCCAAAGCCAAAAGGGTAATATGGGTGTGGTAACATTCAGTGAGAAGCTCAATGTCTTAACTCCCAGGCTCACGTGGGAATGTTGGTTTGCTCAAACTGCTCCGATACATTTTCAGGTCTGACCTTAGGTCGTGAGGATTGTGCGCTGTGGTGCGAGACTAAGATCTTGTCCGGCCAAATTGCCAGGCTGGTGTTCCAATTTGCGACAGCTGGGTGCTCTGCTGCTTGACAGGGTGGCAGCACATGCTGCACCTTTGCCAATTCACCAAACGCCGTGCGAGTGCCCTTGCTCAGATCTCTGTTCGAATGCCTCATAGCCATGTGTTTTTCTTTTCTTTGTGGTTTTCCGTTGCGAGGAAGACTAGAAACAATGAATTTCTCCGGAATCCTTCACCGGCAAAATCTTCTCAGCCATCGGAGCCAGCGCCTTGTAGACCCACTGTCCAACCAGCGGATGCTCGAAAACAATCTGCGCCTCCTCGTTCACGCCTCAGGTCACTTTGAGTTGGCATCCGGCAACTCCTTCGCAAATCATATATCCTATTCCTTCCAATGCACGCCAACAAGGGCCTCTGCCTGGCGCTACTCCTTCCAAGTGTCCCAGTCCATGACAAAATGACAAGCCGGTCAAAGGACAAACCACACGTGCTGACAAGGGCCTCCTGGTGCAGCACAGCCCTAGGCAGCATAAGTGAACCCCCCCCCCACTGCGCTAACTGCCATGGCACCCAACGAGGATGGGCTGTACTCGATGGTGATGTCAGCGGACTCCAATGGCGGCAGCACCACTCGGCTGTTCAAAACCTCTCGAAGCCGCCAGCTGAGCCGAAAAATGAGAGATCAATAAGTGGAATTCCGTTGGGTTCCCTTGAAAACCAAGATAAACAGTACCTTCACAAAACCAGCCACAAACCGGACCTCCCAGTTGCTTGCCTCATGCCTAGACTGCATTGCTCAGACCCTCGACTCGGCACACCTTGAAGTTGATCTTGTTGGTGGAGCGATGCTTTAGGACCTCAAAGCAGCTGGAGCCGGTGATTTGGCCATGGATCAAAAGCCCCGTGCCCCCGGTGAGCATCCCAATCCCCAAAATGGGCTCTAAACTGGGCGGTGCACCTACCGACCAAAATGGGATCCGATTGGTTTGGCTTTGGGCCCTTTGGGCCCAAAGGTCCTTGGCCCGTCTGAGAAGCCCGCCACCTCCTGACCCGTAGGGTTGTCCAAGTGAACGGTTGTTTGCGCGGTCCTGCGACATGGATCAACATCAGCTGCCTTCAACACGCCAACATTCCCCTCCCGCCAATCAACATGAACATGGAAGGTCCTGAAAGACATTCTTTCTTTTGAAGGGACCCGCGAACGTTAGGTTGGTGCGAGGGTCTGCCAGAAAGTTGCCCAAGCTCCAGCCACAAACCTCGCTACGTCCTGCCAAGCTCACACTGCAGGCCCGGGATCTCTTCTGCGGGCGCTGCTTCGGCCATCAGCGTGAGATCGTACCAGAACTCGCCTGAGTTCGATGCGAGGAGTGGGGAAGGAAACGCTTCCTTTCGCATTGGCTATTTGTTTGGTATCAACCGGCAACGCCCTCTTTCGCAGGGGAGGTTCTTTTTTTAGAATACAAACCGGCATGCCGGCTGGGGGTTGTATAACCAACCCTTTCGCAAACTCTCCACTTGCACCAGAGAAGTCGGCCATGCGCCTACAATCTCGTTGAAGAACACGGCGGTCCCCTTGGTCCTCGCCGGCAGCAGCGGGCTGAACACCTCGGCTTCTGGTCCTCTGACTTCGACTGGGCTGTGTGGCTCGCTTCATGGGTACCGTCTACGGCACTCTCAACTGCAGCTAGATACGCATCTCCCATCTTAGATTGCACGAAAAGCATGGGTCAAGCAAGTCTTGCTCACCCGCCGGGTTTCTGGCCAGTTCATACGTGGCGGTCTCTTTCGGAGCCAGGACAAACTCTGCCTGCCAAGGCGAGTCGAGAGCAAGGTAGGCTTGCGCAAACCATCACGTGCTCAACAGCCATCAAATCCTTTAAGCCGCCCTGTGGAAATCTAGACATGTCCGCTTGGCTGTCTCCTATCTGTCTGTATCCACCCACAAAGCTTCTACATGCCAATGATGGCATCATGATTCACTGCACATGCTGACAACATCAGCCATCGCGACATCCATGACATCACGTTGATTTGTGTTTGCGAGTGTCGAAGCGACGCTTCGACCTTTCAACGATACACTCATCAAGGGAAGTGAACAGAGAAGAGCGGAGACCCTTGGACGGCAACCTTTTCCCAAGTGATGCCGTTTAGGGGGTGTTTCTTTTGGGGGGGCACATTTTGGGGCTTGGAACACCACCCATTCAGGCCGGTCTGGCTGGTCCCCTGTTTAGAGACATGGACCTGGGGCGCCGACCGATGCGACTGCGCAGCCAAAAAACGAAGGGGAGCCCGAGGCCCCCGTGCGAGCGATCGAGGCAAAGCCCACCTCCCCCAGCAGGCCGTCGCCCGTGAGGGCCACCTCAAAGACCACGACATCGTCCAGGGGATTCACCAGCTGGATGTCCACCGCCACCGCCTCGGCAGCTTCTCATCGCAAAGCCCCGATCCGAGTGAGTCCCCCGGGCGCCCTTCCCAAGGAGAAATAAAAAAACAAAACGGCACCCCAAACGACACAGCACAGCTCGAAATCCCCAGTTTCCCATTTGCAAACAGTCATCTTGATCCGGGCTCCGTCGTCCAAAGGAAAGTCACGGAGAAGGAGTTCCACAAAGGAACAAGTGCTCACGAATGTCAACACAATCACAACCACTTGCAACAAGCTGGCAAGACGCCCTTGAGTCAGTTTTCCAGCCGGCCTGAGCCCGTGCTGAGCTCCTTTGCGATTTCTCCACGTCCCCCCACTCCTGGTGGGTGCTCCCCACCCCACCCACAGCCTGGCGCACCACGCAGGTCAGAGTAAGGTGCTGCTGCGGCTTGGGTGGCAGCGTCATGAGTTCCACCTCGGCAATTTTTGTTGCCGCTTCGCGCACGCTTCCTTTGGCGTGCAACCCCATTTTTAGATTGGTTTCAAAGAAAAAGCATTTCCACCCCCTTCCTAGGGATTCGGAAACCATCATTTTTACTTTTACTTTTTCGGGCGGAGAGGGGGGCCACAGACCCATTTGCACTCCTTCCTCCGCCTGCCTCCAGCCTCCAGGAGCCTCACAAAAAACATCTTGGGATGGCCAAGTTACCGTGTACCAAGTGAAGTGCCCCGTATGGGTGTCGCGGAAGATGATGCAGCCTCTCAATCGAGTCAACCGCCAAGCTGCAAGCTTCCGAGTGACGAAACAGCTTTCCAGCCGGGTTTTGCCCATAGACGGCGCCCACCAATTTGCTTCAAAGACATGAACATGTCAACCCCGAATCGGAATCGCAACAAAAAAAGGCAACAGCGAGCCGGTGACCTTCCAGCAAAAAGGTCTCTGCTGAACTCAAGACCAGGCCCTTGCTGTAAAGCATCCCCGGCCTGTGACGTTGCCTGCCTGTAAGGGTTGGAAGACCAGCTCGTACTCACCCGTCCCGCGGCCATCCACCTGACAAAAAGAGGAGGGCAAGCATTTCTATCTGCCAAGCGCCACCAGATTGGGGAACAAGGACAAATGTCTGTAGCACAAGCCATATTTGACAAGCACCCATGTCACGGACAATGTTACTTGCTGCCCCATTTGTCTCTGAGACAATAGAGGGGACAGGGCCCACCGGCCCCCGTGTCCTCTCCAGATGAACAACAGACTACCAGTGACACTGTGGATGGACGAAATCCATCTCGCACACTTTGAAACCATGGTCGAAAGCCCTATTTCTTGGTCCCTACAGGTCGATTCGAGTTCCATGGTTTCTTAGGTGGTGCGAAATGGATCACAACTTGCGCGGCCTGGATTGAGGAAGGCCCGGAGATGTGGACCAAATCACTCTCCACCTGACGCAAAAGCACCGGAAGCTCTCAGGACTCAGATGGCTGTAAGTGATGAATTAAGGCTGAAAAACAATTGTATTAGGCTTTACTATAATCACAAGTAAACCAAGTAGTAGAACCAGCTACTAAAATGGCAATAGGGATCTTGGCCACTCAAGTGCCAACTTGGAAACACTGATGTTGGCCTCAAAGGATGCCGTGAGGTTCGAGTGGTTCTTCACCTGGCAAAGTATGCGTGGTGAACAGCGCCAAATGAGCACACCATTGACCCAGGGATGGGAAAGTGATAGGGAAGGCCCCTTGAGCTTCGCGATTCGACCAAGACTCTTGCGACTCAAAGCACCTCCCAATGCAGGGCTCATTAATTTCATGGTTTCCGTGTTGTATCAAATCCAGAACATGGGGTTGTTTCCCTTTACCTAGCAATTTGGGGGGGGGGTGACTTTGACCATGGCAAAATCATGGGGCCAGCGATGTGCAGTCTGCACCCAACCTGGAAGACATGTGAGGTCTTCTCCCGAGCCTCACACCTGGCGCGAAACTGTAAGCGGTGTGGGAGTTGAAGAAACTGGCGGATTGAGGAAACCACGATCCGTTTCCGGGAGCAGGAAACTGCCAACGCCTTAGGCTTTTCCAAAAATTGTCTTGTCTCAGAATGGACCCACAAAAATCAGGTTTCCTCGTGCCTTCCCTTTGAGACAACCTTGAAATACCCTCAAAAGAAAGACAAACCCTAAACAAACAGCAATGGCGCACTTCACCACCACGTGCTCTTCCGCCAAGGGCTCTTCAGCAACACCGTGGAGGTCGTACCTGGCGAGCGAGAAACGCAAAACCTCGAGGTTTGCTTGCTAGCTGGCGCGCCAAAATCAAGAGCACCAGGTTGGCCCCCAAGGTATTGAGAAGCAGCAAATGCCCAAGCTTGAGTTTGCAACCTACATCTGATTCCGGCTCCCACTCATGTCTGACCCCGGCTCACTCGTAGGTCTCGTTGGTACCCACGTTGTACAGCACCAGCTGGGCCTGGAAAGTTGATGAAGTAAAGTAAAGCAAACATCATCTGCGGGTGATGGCTTGCTTTGGTCAATCCACAAACAGTACAGGGAATGGGCAACAACTTCTCACACCATCTTCATGTTTGGGTTCTCCGCTCTTGCGTGCTTGGCGCCACAGTTGCAGCTCATTGCAGCGCGGGGCTTGCAGCAATTAAAAAAAAAGCTCTCGCCGGGGGGGCAAATTGTACTGATCATCAAGTAAACCCCCTGATGTTCACTGGAAGAGGCTCTTCAAGTATTCCCGGGCCATGAGCAGGGCAAAGCACCACACACAGTGCAAGTTTGCTGTCTTCGTTGGGATGACCCTTCGCTTGAGGTACGTCCTTCTGCCACAGATGAACTTGAAGCCCATGGCCGTGATCTTAAGGCGTGATAACACAAGCGCATAAGTCAATGTTGCGGATGGGGCAATAAGTTGGCCAACCAAACTGGGCTGACATGCCGATTTCTCCGATGCCAGCCATGCAATCGGTAGATAAAAATACATCATCCTCCCGAGCGCTTCCCAGATCCGCCTAAATGGATCCGCCCAGATCCGGATCCGCCCAAATGGATCGATCCCCCGGTCCTTGCAGTCGCAGACCCACTCCGGCTTGAAGGTCAGCGGATAGGTCGTCACTGTGGCCTGGCCCGTTGCCTCGGAAAGAGAGAGGCAACGATGCGGACGGCAGAGGGTCGGCTTTGCGGGCCTCGGGGGCCAATGGCGGGGCTTGAGCCAACGTAGGGGGGATCAAAAGGTCCATAAAACATGGGATTGGTTGGAAAACCACGGGGAAAAACAAAATTCGGAGTGATGCAAAGCAAGCTTGGATTGCTTCGAGTTCCGCGTGCTTCGTTCCGAAAACCAGAATGCAGCAACTGGGAGTGCCCCCATGCCTTTCAGCTTCACATTGACAGAACCGGCCACGGGAGTTGCTCAGACCCCAGCACCCTTCTTCTTGGCGATAAACTCCCGGGGCCCATCGAACTCATGCCCAATCTGGGAGAAGGTCGGCTTGATTGCCTGGGCGAGGGCAACTGCAAAGCTCATGCTACTCTTGATACCTATGACATGGCAAATGCGATTCTAAAGTATGCAAAAAGCTGAGCTCGGCTACCTCATGGCAATGAGTGTTGAGTCTTAAGGGTTCAATAACTCCCCTGGAAGGAATGTGATGCAAGGCGCTTGAAAAGCTCGCACACTTTGAGATATTGTGGGTGAAAACACACAGAACTGACGCATACACAAGCCAAGCAAGATTGTGAAATCTGTGACAACAGCTTTCTTGAGGCAAGTAAAAATCTTGAAATCCGACTGAAGTGAAGGAAGATTAGCGTAAAGACATGCGCAAATACGGCCAAGAATCAGGAGAGAAATGCAAGGACGCCGGGGGTGTCCTCTAAGTAAAAATATGTTCACCCGATTCAGTTGCCGCCCCTCAATCAAGGTTCAATCAGGCATCGTGGGAGGTTCAGTACTCTACAGGAAAAGAAGCCAAAGCTTAGAAACGCCTCTAGCACAGCTAGGGCAGCTTTTGCGATCAGGCTTGCATTAATGAAGGAATCATCCAATTCCTGTGCCCTACAACATCTTCAAGATGGCTTTTACAAAATCTTCCAATCGTGCATACTGAACAACGGGACGCAAAGAGAAAATTGCGTGACGAGCCGGATAGGGGAAGAAGCCATGCATATCTGATGCCCAATCAAGACGTCATTGGTGTGCAAGGCCAAGTCACCCATTCTCTGTCGGTTGGGTTGACAATAGGAATCTCCTGGAGGCAAGGCGAGTCAAGTCTTCTGCCAATGCTCAAATTGGAGGCATGTGATGTTGCGCCAATCAAAAGGAGCTTCTTGTCTACGTAGCTGCCCGAAATCTACGCAAAGACAAGCCCGTCCTGTGTGATGGCTTTCCTTAGGTCTCGCATTTCAGCTACGGTTGTCTCTGCAGCAGGAATCAAGTTCAGCATGCTCCATCAGTCTCCCGAGCGCGCTCGCTGCGCTGAACCCACGTCAATTGCAGCACAGTTGCCTCGCTTGTGTGGTAAACGTCAGCGAGCAGTGGGTGTTGGGCGCGGTTCCAGTGCCTCAAAAGTGGCTCTCTGGCTCCATGCTACAAGAACGCTGCATCGTTCCATTCTGACAAGCCGTGAACACTTGCGAAAATCTGCAGCAGGTACGATGCATGCATGTCCCCAAGGTCTTTCACCTGTCAGATAAAGAAGTTCTGGCCTTCAAACTGGTAGATGCGGATGTCGACATCAGACGTGAGGGTCACAGTGCAAGGATAGACACCAGGCTCCTGCAACAACTAGCGCTTCGCAAACTATGACCGTCATCACCCAACATACCTGTGTACTGCTGACACCGCACGGTCGTTGAAAGTCGGAACGTCCAAATCAATTTCTGAAAACTCAACAACTGGGATTGGAGAGGTCATGTCGTGTGCGGTCATTGCGCGGCGGGGCTGGTTCATTGGCCACTGTCAATATCACTCTCAAGCTTCCGTTCACAAAGCAACGCAACGGTTTCTGGTCAGAAACCCTGGGACAAAAAACGCTGCCTTCGAATTAACAGACATCACCATCCCGCATGTCCGCTTTGCTGCTTCACACATCCTTCGGCCAGAACTCCACAACCAGCTTGGCCACCTCGAGTCAGCTCTGCGCTCGCTCAAAACACAGGACAATATCATCAAAAAATATCCCGGCAAGCGACCCCAAACAGTTGTCAAAAAGTGAGACAGGAACCCACGCAAGTGATATGAAAGTTGCCGAACCAGATGCGCACGTGGTCTCCAAAAAAAGGTCTTGCACATGCTCTGAGGTTCTCTGTCAGGTTCTACAAGACCTCTTGCAAGAGTGTCTTTGCAGGTCCTGTCTTCAGACGTCTGCATTTGCGCCGCGCCACAGCCAGAGAGACGCGACCCACCCCCCAAGCCCCGCAGAGGGTTCACTTGCGATGTTCAAAATTCACACGATCCGCCCCGCCCAAAGTCCGCAGAGGGTTCACTTCCAATCCTCAAAACGTGCCCTTTTCTGCAACGACGGCGACTCAAACCACTTAAAGTCCGGAGAGGGTTGATTTCGATACAAGTTCGCGCCGCGCCACAGCGAGAGCGATCCAACACACGCCAACCAACCGGCTTCGCAATTTGCACGGCACCCTGAAAAGACGCTAAATTCGTCCACACGCTTTGTGTGAGCCTGCACAGTCGAATCTCACAAGGATGTTTTGGTGCGAGCCTGCACAGTCGAAAAGCGCCGCCCAAAATGAGCACCCAGATATACCCCGGCCCTTTACCCTTACCGTAGGAACCCCTTAGCTATAGACACACTGTTTGGGGAACAAAAGCAAACAAGATAGACTTGACTGATGACAACGTGCTGTGAATGGTCGAAATCCTGCACCAAATTGAAACCACCACGGTCGAGCCCATGGTTGGCTGGTATCTGAAATCATTGTTGGGGCTTCTTAGGTGCTGCGAACTGGATTTTGCCCACGGTGTCGTCACTGATCTCGCGAGGAAAGTGCGCAGCGCCCGCCTGAGAAGCCACTGGACTTTGTATGGAAGGGCGGCGGTCGGCCTGGCGAGGGCACGAGGAAAAAAAAAAAACGACTAACAATAAGACAGGCCGGAAAGGTTCGATCAACAAAAATGCGGCAGTCCTGACTGTGGGTCAAGACTAGGGTTGCCCTGGTACATGGAACCAAGGACTAAACCTGCGTGTAACTTTGACCCATACCCGTGGAGATGCTGAAAAGCAACTCAAGCCTCGCCTTGTCTAAGCCAATAGTTCCGCTGCGATTGGCTCCCTTGCCATCGCCCTTGCCCTTAGCTCATCTGGGCTCGTCTTCTTTCGAGGCTGCCGCTTTGGGGGTTGGCTTAAAAGGAAGCCAAGAGGACGAGACAAAGCCATCTGTGGGACTTTGGGCAGGGTTCTTGTTTTGCAGCAAGGATCATGCAAAAAAAAAGAACATTATCCCGCCTATATTGAGACAAAGCCATCTTTGGGTGGTTTCTCTTTTTTTGCAGCGCGGATCACACGAAAATCGCCGGTCCGAAGGCATCGACCTGGGCCCCGGCTTCCCGGTTCACCATCTGGCCATTGTGGACCACAACCTGGCAGCTGAGTGGATGAGCGGGGCACTCCGGTCATCCACGAAGGGCTCCAGCTTAATGGGAACCCCGGATCAACAAACCCTCCGTTTCCGTTTTTGGGGGAGTCCTTGGTATAGTAGGGATTCATCACGAATTCCCCCCTATCAATGGGATGGGCTTATTAATCTTGGGGCAGCTTATGTTTGTGTGTGCGTGGTGGTGTGGTGGTTGGGCGAGTCTTTGCTGTCCTTGGCGCCCCCTCCGCCAAACTTCAGCAAGCCTTTCCATGCCACAAGATCCGCAGAGCTGGTTCGCGCCTGTTTGGGCGCTGAGTAGTATGGCGAGGACACTTTCACATCCTTGGGTGTCAGGCTTGGAGAGTGCATTTGCTTTCGCAGCCCAAAAAAAAGTCGCGATGGCAAGTGTCTTTATGTCCATGATGACTTTTGAACCTAGCCTGTTGGCGCGATTGAAGCACACTGTCTCTATTTGTTCCCCTCTCACTCGGAATTACATGATTAACATGTTGACAGAGCCAAAACAACCAGTGCCCTTCATCCAAGGGTCATAGACAATGTAGTCCGGCGGCAAAGGTCGAGGCCCCGCATGGTTCTCCAGCCAAGTGCGGGCTCGCTCCACCTGGCAACAAGACAAAGTTTCTCTGAGATCAATTACACCCCACACCCTCCAGTCAGTCAACTGCTTGTGGCAAACACTTGGCCAACCTTTCGCTGTTCTCCTCTGCGTTTGGTTCATGGGGCTCTGCGTTTGGTTCATGGAGCTCTTGCAAGTGGCGACTAAGCGTGTCCCCTCCAACACCTAACTCATTGCCAACCAAGCCAGGCAATGCAGCCTAAATCCCGGCATATGTATGTTTTGGATCGAGTGTCAGAAAATGTACTGAACGAATGCAATGTCAGCCGATGCGAAACACCCGATATGGAGCAAAGGGCCTGGACAAGGGATACTTGCAAAGCAGGAAAAACACAAGACTTTGCAGTGTGTCACAGCCTTGATACGATTCTGCCTCTTGACAGAGGCCATGCTTGCATAGTTGAACGGAACAACAACGACGTTGCCAGTAGTCCGGCTACCTGTAGCCGGTACGCATCACATGTAAAATGGAAATCATTTGCCATACAATGTTCCCACGTGCTCTGAATTCAGCTCAAGAAGCATGCAGCTGTGCGTTTCCAGAGCAACCAAGGTGTTGACAAACTCGAGCTATGAAGCTACAAAAGCCGTCAAGAAAAACTGAAGGCGCCTTCAAGATTCAAGAGAGTGCGGTTTCACCTGCTTGCTGGGCAATATTCATCACGACCCACCTGCATGTTGCGCAGGGGGAGAATGATGTCCTGGAAGCTGAGTTGTTGCCGCAAATTCAACATTCGACTGAACATGCTGTTCGATAAGGATCTCTGTCAGCACTTTCGTTGGCAAAAACTGGCACTTAGGCAACCCAAAATTTATGTTTGCATTTGTAGTTGATATAATAATTTGCTATACTATATATATATATATATATATGTATATATATTAAAGCAAAATCTGACCCACTTCAGTGCGCCCGCGGTGAAGCGCTAAAGGCTCCTTGGTGCCAGACGCTTCTGCCTTCACCTGCATCTTGTAGGTCTCGAGTGGCAAAGGAGGAGAAGACGTGCCGAAGAGCTCATAGTAATACTCTCCTGCCTGGCCACCCACGAGACGCAAAAAAAAATACGACTCTATCTTTGCCCACAGCCTTTGAATCGAAGACCCCCAGAAGCGCCGTGAAGTGCGCAGGTGCCTGACCAGGCTGTCTCTAACATGTCCATCTCAGTTTGCAGTTCAAGGCCACCAGCCTTCAGAAATAAAACAAATCCTCGCCTCGAAGGGCAAGAAGGACACCGTGATCTTGCCAGTTCCGCCAGCCTTCACCCGGCACCTTGTAACACCTGCAAACCAGCAGTCGTGTTGACGCGCCCTGCTAAACAGGTGTGCATACCCAACACGAACGTGGAGGTAGAATATCATCCCAACTAGCAGAGGCAGCAAAAAGCAGCCTAAGGCAAAAAGCACAGGCGCAAATAATCAGAAATAGCTCGGTGCAGCCAGGCATCTCAAGTGGAAAGCCTCCATACCTTCACATCTCCTGGATATCACCTTGCTTGCACAGGCAGGTTTCAGAAAACCGTGACTTGTACATCCCGGCAAACCTATGTCTGTGTCTCATCCAAAGGCCGGCCAAGCCGCCCCAGGCACAACTGCTAGCAAAAGCTAAGGCAGCTGCTGGATTCTTTTCTGCATCACAGCATGTACTTTCGCGAAGCGCGACAGAAAACTCTGCCTCCTGTCAGCACATTGCAGAGGGAAACTAAAAATTGGATGACAGTTTTTGGGGGTGTCTTTTTTGTGGGTGCCCGCTGTTGATTGTTTTTAAGAAGAACTCAAAGGAAAATCACATGTGTGTTTAATTTCCGGGCAGGTCTCGTAGAAAAAGACACACCCTTTTCAATGTCTGGCTGAGGAAATGCAAATGGTTCGCCCACGAGACCGAGAAAGGTGCCTCGGCGAAGGGGTTTTCCAAGTCCACATCCACCTAAAGCCGCTCCAGTCGCTTGAGTCCGTTCCAGCAGCCATTGAGAATGTTGCCCTTCATCAGTGTCAAAAAATAGGGCGCCCGACAATGGGTGGTGTCCTTCTGGTTTCCCTTTAAACCCACCCTGACCCAGACAGTAAAGAAAGAACTGTGAGATGCCAGGTAACGAAAAAAAACTCAAAGGTGCAAACAAGACATGGCTTGGTCTCGAAAAGGGGAACCTCCCAAAATGGCGACAAACTTCAAACTTCCTTTTGCCTCCCTTAAAAACCACCCCAAAAATATTGGGGCAGCCTTAAGAAGAGAGAAAAACGAGCCGTCCAAACCAGCCATTTGGCCATGGGTCAAAACCCAACTCGTACAGTGAACATCCCAATCCAACCTTTAAAATAGGTTAGCTACACTGGGTGGTGAATTCACCCAATCCAACCCAAATGGGATCAACCACAACGATTTTGACCCATGGCCGTCTCTCACCACCCGCATCCCTCGGATCCTCAGGCGCCCGGCTGTGCCCACCTCGTAGAGCACCGCAGAGACGTTGATGGTCCTCCGAGGCTTGCGCCCGGTGCAACGGCTCCTGGAGCTGCGAGAGAGCGAGCGACCCATGCGAAAAAAACGAGGAAAAACGAGGAAAAACGAAGCAGGAAAAGAAAAAAGACGGGGAGGAGCCAAGCAAAAGCCCACCGGCATGAGAATGGTCGGAAAGCCCCAGGCCCCAAACTAATGGAAAGAACTACAACAAGGCCGCAGCGATGTGTGCGCGTGGTTGGGACTGGCCCTGACTCACCTTCACCGACCCTGTGATTGTGGCTCACGGGACCAAGCGAATTCGAGTCTGAACGCAGAAGAGACCAATAGGATTCCTCCAATTCTAGCACGATCCTCTTGTTTCCTCTCAGCCAGCGAAATCGCGAGCGGGCCTCAGCTTGAAGACCATGGCAGCAGCATTCACGTTGCCCTCTCTTCTGGATGTGAACATGATCTTGTCCTCCACGAGCCTAAAAAAACACTCAGGGCGCCTCTGGAAACTGGTGCTCGAATCTGGAACATCCTGGGATTTCTGCCATCGGCAGAACTCCGGGCCAAAAAAGCAGCTGCCCAAAAGCAAACTCCCTCTCACCAAATCACAGGGAACCTGACTTTCAGGTCCCGGTCCCTTTAAAAGAACACCCCCCCAAACGTCGAACGGTTCCATGTGAATTGGTGGGAGACCGCAAGCATCTCAAAGTCCAACTCACTCGCCTGGAGAAATGGCTGTGGAACTCCACTGGGAAAGTCACAGTTTGCCTGCATGGCAAGCGAGACTCAACAGCCGATTGGCCAAAGGGAATGGGTCAAAATTAAACCACCAGGCCGCAGGTTGAGTCCATGCTTCCATTTACCAGGGGCAACCCATTTTGGGGTTGCCCTATGATTGACCGACACCCAACTGGCCACTGCATGGAATGTTTGTCCGAGCCCAAGATCATGCTTGGAATGATTCAGCCTTGCGACACATGTGTATTCTTGGGCTACCTTTGCCACAGGCATGATTGCTCGTCCAAATGCTTTGTCCTCCATCCATCCATCCATCCAACCATCCATCCATCCATCCATCCATCCAACCATCCATCCATCCATCCATCCATCCATCCAACCATCCATCCATCCATCCAACCATCCGTCCATCCAACCATCCATCCATCCAACCATCCATCCATCCATCCAACCATCCATCCAACCATCCATCCAACCATCCAACCATCCATCCATCCATCCAACCTATCCGTCCATCCATCCATCCAACCATCCAACCATCCATCCATCCATCCAGCCAGCCACCCAGCCACCCAGCCACCCAGCCATCCAGCCATCCAGCCATTCATGGCTTCCACTCGATGCTCCGCGGCTCCGCCTCGGCTCCAACTTCACCTGATCTTCCTTGATGGCAAACTCGTTGCTGCCCCCGACCATCTGCACGAAGTAGGTGATCGCCTCCCAAGGAAGTTGTCTCTCTGTGGATTCCGCTGCTGTCCAAAAGCCCAGTGTTCAACAAAACGGTCTGCGCGTCAGAGCCATTGCTCCCGCCTTCTTGGAAGGGTTCGTGAGCTCGATATTCTTCGTCATATTGACCTGGGTCAGCAATGGCCCGCTGGAGAAAGGCAAGCAGAGAAAAAATGCAAGCTAAAGCCTTTGCCAACGGCAGCCAGCAGAAATTTACGAGCACCGACGCTGCATGTCCACACACTACACTCTATCAAAGCATGCAATCATCTATGACGAGGAATAGAAGGCAGGGGCAAATCACATTGGACTATGGCAGCCTGTGTACGTTGTAGCTGTGCTCATCGTGCTCCCTGAAGTGGACACTGAGCACTGTGACACTGTGGGTGGAGCGGAGCATGACCCTCAAGAATAGAAATATAACATGTCACGTTCTAAAATGTCACCTGCGCGCGTCAAAATCAGGGACCCTTCCTTGTAAGAGCAGAGTCAAAAGGAATCAACATGAAACCCACGATTTTGAAGAAAATGCCTTAGCTATGACATATTTCCCACAAGTAACTGCCTCAAGCTTGACTCAAGCCTTAAAAGACAACAAATAGTTGACATTGCTGCAGGCAGACTGCCCCAGGGATGTGTCCGTCGGGTGGGCCCAGCACAACCGGCCCCAAGTTTCAGAGCCTGTTTTGACGGAGAACAGTCGTCACCCGGAACATCAGACACATCCGAGGCGTTCCCAAATTCTCTGGGGAGGTTCCGTGACAAGTCGGGCTGCGTATTGTCTCACGCCTTCAAGCAAAGACACACCCAGCATTGTGGAGAAAACGATGGTGGTCTTGGGCACGTAGTGCGGCAGGTTCTGAAAGAGGAACATCACAAAGAGGAGCATGTCCTTCACGCAGGTAAACGACTGCTTGCTTGGAAGATGCTAGGTAACATGTCAATTTGCCCTGTGATCTTTAGTTCGCGCACATGCTTTGGCTGAAAACCTTTAAGATCGAGCGGGCATATCAACTTCTACGTGCTGGGAGACGCTTCTCTCCAGCCGCGACTGTCGAAAGCCGCCAGTCGCTGGAGAGGTTTATACCCCATTGACAGCTTGAAGCACGATCCGGAAGGGTCACAGAGAGAAAGTCGCCAAGCATGGCAATTTTTGGCCTGACGAAGGTTGCGGCACAGGAAGCTCCAAACATGCAGCATCAGCCTTGTTTGGTTATTGTGCTGCCATTGCTGGGTTCACGATATGAAATAAGTCATTCAAATTGTTCAATCGTGCGCTTAATCTCTGCGCAAATGAAACTTTGAAGGCTCACAGAAGCTATGCCATCAATCTGCGGCCAGCATCGTGGAGCGAAATCAGCTGGCCCAGGACTGGTCAAGTCTGATCCCTGCTTTTGTTGCGCTTGCACCTGGCAGCTCACCCCCACACTGTTGCAACTTCTTGCCCAGCTCCTTTCTGGGGTGCTGTCATATTTGCTGTCGTTTCCAGGCTGAGGATTTCCCAAAACTTCGACCGCCGAAAAAAAATCCGGCCTTGGTGGTTGTAGGGGAACGCCAGAAGGAGAACCACCATTTTAGTGGGTCCCCCTCTAGAAGACACCCACATACCCAACCCAGCTGGTTTTTGCCATTCCTTTGGGGGTAGACTGCAGCACCTAAGCACCAGAAGTCAGAGTCATGCAGTCGCGCAGGTGCCGTGCAGCCGGGAGCGCAAAGAGGCTGAAGGCAGAAGCGAGATCTTCTCCGGTTTTACCATGCTAGACATTTCGTCCAATGTCCAAGCCAACGAAAGGCAGATTTGACACGTGGCAACTGGCGGATTCTTTGGAGTGCTCCTGTAGTGTGCATCTTTGCGCGTCTTTGCTCCGTTCTTTTGCAGGCATCGCTTACGGGCCCCTTTTCTGCTGGCTTTAAAGGAGAACCACTGGGCAAAAAAGCACCATTTTGTAGGCCCGAAACTTGTGCAACCCATCCGGGAAAAAAATGCGGGCTCCAAGCCGCGAGCCACGCGTCGCCGAGTACCAAACGGCCACCGGTCGGTCCTTCGCCTGCGGAGAGGCGATGTCCGAGACCGTGATGGGGAACTGGAGCCCGATCTCCGACAAGGCGGCGATGATGTGCATGGCCTGGGGGCGGAATCCCCAACATGGAATCCCCAAAAAATGGCGTGGCACCTTGGTATGTTTACAAACCAAGACCACCCCTTCTGGTCATTTCAGCTTTGGGGGAAGACGTTGGGGCGTCCTTTTTTTAGGAATCGGAGCTCCCAAAAGGAATTCGAGTTGCCTGTTGCTATCCAAACACCAGCCAAAAGGGGGTTCCCCCACAAAAGACAGACGCATTGGACCGCACAAGTGGAAAGCTCATTTCAAGCCTTCGCATTTGTCTGTGCAGTGCTGAAAGAGCATCTACAACTTACAACAAAAGTTATATTGACCTATGAGGCAACCACTGCAACGTGCTGGAATCTGATCACAGTGCTCATTCATGCTCGTGGTTCTCCTGCATGGCAAAATGGCCCTCGAACATTTGGCGCTTCACTATACATTCGACTGATGTGTTTTCGTGTTCGGTGCTTTCTCTTTTGACTCACTTGTACTTGTAGCACGTCGATGCTGCCAGGGCACGTTTTCCTCATGATGATCCAAGCTTGTGCATTGAGGGCGCATGTTCTGCACAGCCTGCGAGCAGTCCCCGAAACTCTTCTAGCACTTCAACGTCCTATGCCGAAAGTCATTGCGTCTCTTGAACATATTTGCCGGCAGTGAGCCGTGCAGAGCCGAACGGATCTGAACTCATGCAAGCGATTGCTTGCCTGGCAGTGTGGCACGTGCGACTGGATGACCACGGCCAAGACAATTGAATCTTCAAGGTCCGAGTCAAAGCAGCTGACCTCAGCTGGGGCAAACAACGAGTAGTGTACATTCGGAAGTATGAGTTTATGTAGACTGTCATGCTGTCCGCAAAGCACAAGCTGAGATCTTGTTTAACATGCCACCGTAGACGGTGCGGCTCTTGCTTGAATCAGCCCGCCTTGCGAGGTGAGTAGCGATCTTTGTTCCCGCGCCTGGGTGCCACGAAACTGCTGGACAACCACGAAACACCCCACGAAAACCCATTTTGGATCGACAAAATCCTGTGGATAGAGCCCCATCCTGCTATCGGGATAAGCCGCCCAACTGCCGGATTTTGTCCATCCCACTTCAAAATTCGACTCTGAGCCCGGGCGCCAAAAGTGGAAGTTCAGCCAACGCAGCAAAATGCACTCAGGCACGCCTCACGCGATCTCGCGGCGCGGAAACGAAGCATCCCGTGATGCATCTGACATGTTGGTGGTTGTATCCATGCATGCCCGCGCTTTCCCGTTGTGTTTGTGTGTTGTTGAGGGTGCCCCTTCCAACTGTTTTGCCCCCCCCCTCCCCCTGACACCCCCCCCCCTCCCCTGTTGAACAGGTGCAACTCGAGCATTCCGAGCCGCTGTAGACATTGGAGTCCGCCAGGAACTTCTGGTCCAGGGAACCTGGCAGCTCACGCTCGATACGCTGGACATGCAACCAGCGTGTCGCACGGAGAGCTGGTTGAATCCATCTGGTGTTTGGCTGAACCCTAGAGCTCTGAAATTGATCCCTAAACATGCTTCCAGCTGAGTTCTGCTGAAGACAAACAAACAAAAGCGGAAAACGAGGCTCTTGCTCTCTCTCTCTCTCTCTCTCTCTCTCTCTCTCTCGGCACCTTGCAGTTCTGGACAGCCTTTCTTGTCCACCACCTCTGAGCTCATGTCTTCGGCACCCACCTCGGCACCAGCGAACACGCCCTTCAAGAACCGAAGTTGCTAGTTTCATCTGGCAGCTCAAATGGGTGAGTCTCAAAATCGGGGTCCCTTTTTGGGATACCAAAAGGAATCGCAACCACCTGAAGGGGCTCCTAATTTTGATTGGAACACCCAACTGTTCAATTCACAGGCTGTGTTTCTATAGATTCAAGGGTTACCGGTTTGGGGCCCAAAAGGAAACAACAAACCGTCCAAGTGCGCTGCTCGCACATTTTCACGCTTGAACAGCCACACTGCGGATGCAATGGATGTAAAACCCCATACTGACCGATCAAATTCTTCACCCCCCTCTGCGTGTTAAAGGGGCCTTTCACAAAGCAGCCAAACAGTAACACAACAGAGGGAGAAGGTCAGGGGAACCATTGACACATGCAAACCATGACAGTTGCGCTTTTAGCGCCACTGCCACGTAGAGTAGTTTCCGCTACTGTTGTCCCATCCGCTCCATCCGGACCAGTTCTGCCAGCTGCCTTGGCTCCAATGCTCACCCTCGCGGGCGGCGGGAGCACGAGTATCGGCATAGCGAGCGGCGTTGCGAGCGAGGTGCTTGCTGCTCTCGTTCCTCGAAAATTCAATCGAGTTACGAGCATAACGCTCATTCTGGCTGAAAACCCAGTCCATCTCGTGGCGGAGGTCCTCCAACGTGTTGCTTCGCACATGGATGATGCCATTCCAACAACCAATGCTGCGAGGCTTGTCTTGCTCGAAGACCACGTTGATAAAAGCCCTTGGGCTGTAAGGCATCCCTTGGAACATAATGATCCAGCGAGAGGAAAGCGCATCTTGAAGTTCGCTGGGCAGGAACTCCAACTCCGTCTTGACATACGCGAGCCTTGCGATTCGCGACTCCGAAGTTGATCCAAGGCCAACTCCCAGAGTGCGCTGGGCTTGCGACTGCTTTGGAGCAGCCAAGACGAGATTTGCACACAACTCCATGCGGAGCATGTCCGCCTCCCGACGGCCCACCTCAAGCATACGAACCCTGTATTGGAGGTCGAGTTCATAGCGATCAAGCAGAGAGTGGTAGCCGTTCTTCAGAGCGGACTTGTGCTTCTTCCGGGCTTCCTGAATAACAGCACTGTCCGGGGAGTTCAAGCCACGAATGATGCTGCTACGATCCTCCTCGCGGAGGTCAAAAGTTCCCACGGATGCCAAAACCTGGGCTGTGACATGGGTGCTGAGGCCCATCTTCTTCAGCAAATTGGAACGCTGCACAATGTAATTCCTCTGCTGTTCTTTCAGCAGCCGAGGATTGAGGGGAGACAACTGCCCACATGACGAGCAATGGACCTGCCCCTCGAACACACTGTTGTTGCAGACCGGGCACGTGGCGACATTCAGCTCAACGTTCTCCATTGGGTTGAAAGTCTTCTGTCTCTTCGCTTCCCCTTGCGGGGCGCGAGGAGACGCCACATTGGTGCGGGTCGTAGCAATACGTTCCAGCGCTGTAGATCGATCATCAACCACGGCTTGGTCACGCTTCATCCCCTGCGATTCATCCTCATTCGCCTCAGCTGGTGCACCTGCATCCGATTGCTCGGAGCGAGTGTACCATACATCGCCATTTGTAGCGTCCAAAACCGAAATGATCGTGTAATTGGGCACCTTGTCGCGCGTAAGGACGCCGTCGCTCTCAGTCTTGAAAAAGCCAAGCCCTGCGCGAATGGCCATCCTGAGGTCGATCTGTATCTCCAAGGGCTTGTTAGCACATACACCTGAGATGTAATTTTCATTCGTGCTCGGAATGTCAGCGAAGAAAACGTGAGGTCTGCCTGTCTCGTGCTGGTCCCCTCCTCCTGGAAGCAGTCCGTTTCGCATAATGCTGGCGAAGTTCCGCTTATCGGTGCGATGATAGAGCACCGTAGGAGGGTTGCTGCAGACGTTCCAGCCAGACCAGCGCCCGAGGTCAGTCCCCGGGTTCACGTACCACTCCTTCGCGATGCCGGAGTCGTCGATTTGGAGCCAGTCCTCATGTCCTTGAGAGGCCTTTATCTTGAAAAGCCAATGCGAACATGGGACGTCTCCGCACCGGCCTGCGTCCGGGCAACCAAGCGCAATGAACCTCTGCTTTTTGTCCAGCTTGAAGATGTCCATGATATTCTGAATATTCCATGGAATGGGATGTCGCAGCTCCTTGCGAAGCGCGAGTCCCAGGTCTTCGAGGTCCATGTAGCCGTCCTCATCCATCACGTACCCGCATCCTTCCGTTCCACGACCACGGAGGATCTTGGAGATGCACGTCAGGGAACTGTGGTACTCGTTGCTGATTCTCCTGACAGAAGGGTCGTAATCAAAGGAGGGCTGCTTGATGATGTCGAGTCTCTTGGGGCCCTCACCGTAGTCGACATACTTCACGCCACCATGGATACTATACACCCAGCAATCGTAGTGGCCTCCAGTCACGTTCCTCCCGTAGGAGTCGAGTGGTACCGGTCTGCTTGCCGCCTCGTCCCTCTGTGCCACCGCAGCCGCCTTTGCACCGGCTTGCGCCGGGCGAATACTCTCGGAAACATCTGCACCGGAAGGCTCACCTGAAGTTGCAAACTCGGCTGGGTTGACGGGGGCGAAATCGAGGGGCTGCCGGACCTCCACTTCTTCACGGGTGAAAGGGAGCCCAATCATCTCTGACAAGGAAACACCGCACTTAGTTAGCGTTTCCTTGCAGTACGCGAGAACCTCAACGTTGACTGTGCAATCCTCTTGGTGGCGCACCTCGAGCACATCGATCGGACGCGTGGTGCAATCATGCGAACGCGTCAGCTCGGCTACGCTGCCCATTGCGGGGCGCAAGATGGAAAGCATATACAACATGTGATGGGTTCCGCGCATGAACTGGACGGTCTTCGTGATGTTGTCGTCACTGAAGCACATATGATACCTGTCCAGCAAATCGATGGTCTCGACAAAGGGTGTAGCATCTACGTACACAAACATTTGATTGGGGTCGCCGATGATGTAATCCCGGACTTCCGTCATGAAACGGTCCCAAATCATAGAAAAGCCGTAGAGATAGCTCTTCGCGCCGGTCATGACTCCAAGGCATGCGCAGCCCTTGCGGGCCGCGAAATCCCTGGTCCAAGCCAGGTGCCGTTTGGAGTCAGCGAGAAGTTGCTCTGCATCGCCGGTGGGGGTATCATAAGGATATGTACCCGTGGGCTCGAGGCCGTCCTTCCCGACGAGCTCGTTGCCATTCCAGTAAATCATCGGAATGATGGTGGCAGCTGGGTGGTCGGTACGCACCTCGTCGATGAGGGCGGCCAACCGCTTGCACAGCTGCTGTAAGCCCTTGCCCCAAAGCATTTCTGACCTCCATGCACCGACACGCGCCGGGCGAGAGGCATCCAATCGCTCCGCAAAGTCGTACTTGCGAAGCTTGCGCTTCTTGCCCGAAACCATGGACAGTCCTGAATCAGCGACAGTCACATAGATAAGGAGGTCGCGATCTGGTACACGTGGGGCCTGCAAAACCTTCAAGTACGGTTCGCTTATAGTTAACAGGGGTGTAAGCAATTGCAGGTAGTGCGGTTGGTCCTGCACCCATGTATGAATAAGCGACTGTGCAGAGGTCGTCTCGAGGAGGCTCTTGACCGTGGCGGCGAGGTTAGCGTCGTATTTGCCGTTCGTGCATACCGATGTGGTAGCGACATTCTCCATCCACCTCCTCCATGCCGGATCGCAATCCCTCGCGGGATGCGCCATAGCCGTCGCGCTGCTCATTGCGAAAAGGATGCAGCACAATCACTCGAAAGCAACGGCTGCATGGTGGCGTGTTCGGAAAATGCGTTGTGAACGGCATCAGTGTAAACATACGTGTATCCCTCGGCTTCCTTCAAATAAGTGCCACGGCTTTCATCATGCTTGTGAGAACCATCACACTTGAAGTACTCAACCACGGAAATTGTGGGCATATTACTGGCAACGACCCATTGCTTTTTCATAGGTTTTCCATTTCTCCCTTTAATGCCGATTTTGCAACCATGGAATTCATACTTGTTCATCTTGTACTTAGTCAAGAAACTCCATAGTTCGGGCCATTTCCAATAACGACACGCCTTGGGGAGTTCAAAGGCAACTCTAACGTCATCAGAGTAGACATCATTGAGAATGCGTTTGAACCCTCTCAACAGTGATCGGAATTGTTTGATGTGGCCCTCGATCTTGGCGGCACCTTTGGGAGTTTGCTGGTTGACATAACCCCACGGGCATCCTCCAGTGCATGGCAACGAAACATAGAACATTATTGCACCCTTAGGATTCTTGCTCCATTCGGCAATTTCATGGACTAACCACTGCCTGCACGTATCAGAGCACCCGTCTTCGGTTTCAGTTACCCGAATGACACGACAACCTTTTGAAGAGTCTCTTGATTCGCCCAACCGTGAGGTCGTCGAACAACAGAATTCAATAAGGAGGCGCTTGGGCTGAGCGTTGCATAACGCAGCGATCTGCCCCCCCTGATCACTAACTTCTCCGGCCTTGGCGCATGGAGAGAGCAGCAAACTGGTGGCACAGGCTCGCGCCTGGCGATTGGGGGAGATACCGATCAGCTCAAGTGCATGGTGCCACACTGGGGTGCTGTCAAACGCCTTGGTCAAGATGTCTGCAGCTTGGAGGGTAGTGTCAACATTGATTAATTCGAACTGCCTATTCACGAATTGCTCCTGGAGCCATCTAAAGCTAATGCGTTGGGTCCTATCCGTGTGCCTTAGCTTCTGTGAGTGTCCCTGCTGCAGGATAGTGATCGTGGCCTGATTGTCTTCCATCAGCTTAACTTTCCACTTATCACTGAGATGCACAGTTAGGGCATTGATGTTCGCTACACTTGTGCCCGCATCAACATTTCCGTACCGAATTTCATCCAACTCGGGGTCGATGCGAGCGACAATGCCATCGGGCACATCAAGGGAGGCTTTTCCCGCCTTTTGAGCATACCCATGTGCTTCTTTCCCAAACAGGCTGAG